AGCCGGAATATCTGAGTTTAATTAAACTGACAAATATTTGCTTTGATCCGTGCATGTGGCTATTGATTCATTTTAAAGTTCTTGAACTGCTGTGAGCTAATTTTTAGAGGCATTCAAAGCCTTTGATGCATCTTCTTCGCCATTCATATCGAAGCTTAAAAAAAAAATAGTAAAATAAAGAAAATAAAGGTACGGTGGCCCATAGGGGACATGACACATTTTTTTGATCGCGCGATAAATGATTGATTATCGTGCGATAAATGGTGATTATCGCGCGATAAATGGTGATTATCGCGCGATAAATGGTGATTATCGCGCGATAAATGGTGATTATCGCGCGATAAATGGTGATTATCGCGCGATAAATGATAATCTATCGCGCGATAAATAGAAATTATCGCGCGATAAATGGAAATTATCAAGCGATAAATGGAAATTATCGCACGATAAATAATAAATTATCGCGCGATAATTTATCCTTTATCGCGCGATAATTTCCATTTATCGCGTGATAATTTTTCATTTATCGCGCGATAAAAAAAATGGGCATGTCCCTTATGGGCCACCGTATAAAGAAGAGGTCGTGTATGAATCATATAGTTCTACGCGTGACGTAATGTTGTTGCATCTCAATAAGGACGATGGGTAATGAAGGTTCTGTAAATAGTACATAAGAGTTTGATTGGTCTCTGTGGAGTACGTCAGGGTATTCTCCCAGAAGAAATGCAATCTAAGCACTTAAATCATCTCTTCTGGAGGGGAAGGAAAACGTGTCATTTCGAGCGTTCTTTTGTGGTACCATCTAATAAGTTACGAGTATTTCAACAAGGCTTCCCCAGGACAAGGGAAAGGGAAAAATAGACGTAGAGGTAAATATTCTTTGACCCATTGCAATTTATTATTGTGTATATCATTGTATATTACTACAGAATAGCCTAGTGTATTGTGTGTGTGTGTGTGTGTGTGTGTGTGTGTGTGTGTGTGTGAGATGCGGAAATGGCGGAAGAGGGCGAGAGACAGGTCAAGATTTACCGCCTAAATTACTCCTGACAGAACTGATCATGCAGAAAGAATCGGTCTATTTGGCGCCGACATCGTGGTAAACAACAAATCGGCTGCGTCCAGTGAGTCCACAACATTTCGACCTCAGTAATGATCAATATCGTTGTCATGAAGAGTACAGACCACGCTAAACCACTGTAAATTTGTTAATCTTGTTCCAAGCCACTTTTTTTTTTTTTTGCTATTATCATTTTCTGATACTATCCCTGGATGTTACAATACTACCTCGGTCTATAAAAATGAGCTGTTAAAAATAACCACAACAACGGCTGTTCAGGGAGTGCTATATGAAAACCTGTCTAAAAAAGTTTGGGTAAAAACTTACACAAAAGAATCTACCCATAGTAAAGTTTTGAACAACAGAATTTCATCGTCGCTACAAATCCTAATCGCAGCAACCGGCTAGGTCAATTACTCCTCGACCTCGATTTCTCATATTTTGGTACTTTTCATTCCAGGAAAAGATAAAAGTACTGTGACTGAGTCCATGTTTGTTGCTGCCAAAAATGGTAATATCACTCGACTCGAAAAATTTTTGTCACTTGGCCGTGACGTCAATTCAAGAAATGACAATGGTGTGACACCATTACGAATTGCAGTCCTGTATGGCCAGAGCGAAACTGTACGTTATCTTTTAGAAAACGGGGCAGATCCGTTCGTAAAAGGGAGTTACAGTCGCAACTTGCTGCACGTAGCCTCATATGGTGGCCAAGTCGCCATTATCGATGAAATGATTAAACAAGGTCTTGACGTCAATTCAAAGGATGGTAATGGCGACACTCCTTTAATACTTGCTGCCGCTTACGGTAGAGAAAAGGCCGTGAAATACCTTTTACAAGGGGGAGCAGATCCCTCTATCAAAGGCTGCTACGGTCGAACTGCTTTGCACGCCGGAAATGATGTCGCTATTATCGAGATACTACTCTCAAGTGGAGTTCATATAGACACAAAGGATGCTGACGGGAACACACCGTTGATTATGGCCGCTGCAAATGCCAACGTAGATGCTGTGAATTATCTCTTAACCAAGGGAGCTGATCAGGATGTCAAAGGCCGCTTGGGGAGAAACACCCTTCACGCAGCTGCACAAGGTGGTGATGTCGTCATCGTCGAGACAATGCTGTCCCGTGGACTCCACATTAATTCCAAAGACAGCCTTGGTGATACCCCTTTGATCATTGCTTCTGCGTGTGGGAAGTTGGAAGCAGTTTGTCTCCTTTTGGTAAAGGGAGCAAAACCTCTCATAACAGGCCAATTCGGTAGGAATCCATTGCATGCAGCGGCACAATGTGGTCATGCCGCAATTATCGAAAAATTGCT